TTTATCTATTTGTTTTAAATCATTTATTTGCTCTTTTTTACGTGCCACTGTAGTAGAGACATTCTCGTAATCCTATTGGACATTATAATTTACTGTGTAAGAAATGTAAACTCTAACATATTATTCTTTTCCGCATTTAAATTATAAATTTATTTTCTTTAAGGTTCTGAGCCTTTACAAAATATAATCAATCTCCGTTTAAAACTAAAAAAACAGAGAGACAATCTCCTAACTAGTTTTCTTATTGTTTATAATCTAAGTCTTGATCTGAAATGGTTAATAATAAGTGATGAGTTACACTAACTCAGTAAGAATATCAACGTTTTACCACATATACAGAAAATCAAAAGGTTGTAGAAAATATAAAACAACCAATGTATCTCTTTTTAAATAAAATTCGAATGCTAGTACATTTATTATTAGTTTAACTAAAAACATTAATATCTTTTCATCTCACCTATAAATTCTTAAATGTCATTTATTACAGTAAGAATCAAAACAACAAACTACAATGCGCATTCTAAAAGATAGATAACAATTAACCTTACGTTATTTCCAAAACTGGATTCCTACCATACTCATATTTATTATTTTAACTTACCTACCAGTATTATTAGGGGTCCATAGGGATCCCCACTACACGTGGACACGAACATTCATTCTATTAATGAAATAGTTGTCCCCATATCTCGTCTGGTAATGGACGCTAAAACACATAACCGTCTCAATACCCCATCTGGTATGAGTGTAATTTAAACGATTTCTAACCCCTTTCATTATGGGACTTCTCAGCCCTATATGACTGAGAGTAACGTCCACGGTAGGATTCACCCTATACATCAAGTTCATACACTTTTTTTTAAGACATCCGGTAAGTCCATATCATTCAACACCATTAATTCATGCATATTTTTTCTTTTATTTACTATTTAGCCTTAAGAAACACGTATATCTGTATCTCAATAACACATGAATAATGAATTCATATTCTAGGGTATGTACATAAAATAAGCATGCATTATACCAACAGAAACGTATTATACGCATAATAGAATGACAGAACAATATATATAGAGAGACCTTACCACGTTTGCCGTAGAATTTAAAACAAATATATTGAAGTAAGTAGTATAGTGAATAGAATAGCATAATAAACAACTGAATAAATAATTACTGCAATTAAAACTCAAATAGGCACAAACTAATCGGTTACTTGCTCCATTGGCAACCTGTATTTTAAGCAATTAGACGACTACATATTAACTAAAATTTTCATTTATTATCAATTTAGTTTTAATTTTACTGTAACAGGAAAAAATGGTGAGAGATTCTTACATTGGGTCGGTGTCCATAACACCACCTTTTTTACTATGCTTTTCGACAGTTTTCGATTATTGGATTTCTTAAGCTTTTCTGCTAAGATCGAAATGTACATCAAAATAGCGTGAAAATATGCGAGAAACGGCCAAAAAAATAAAAAATCTTACCGGGGGGTCGTGCTCTGTCGCTGGGTCTTCCTTCTCTGGTGGCTCCTCCTATCGATCAGGTCGTTTTCGGCAAATTCTCGGTAAAAACCTATTTAATTTATGATTAGAGGTGTTTATTGGCGGAAAAGGAAAAAAAAATCGAAGCTTATCGGTGGTTTCAGCTTTTTGGTGCGATGGCTCAGCCGGGTTCTACTATCACTCCCTCGCGGTTTACGGCTTTTTTGGTCATCCTGCATCGGAAACAAGTTGGATGACTAAAGGGTGGGAAAATAGAATGAACGGGAAGAGGATACGGTTTACTAGAGCATTTTTTAATTTCTGGTGCGGCGACTTGGCCGAGCTCCATCGTTCTTCCCTCGCATTTTGAGGCTTTTCTCGGTTATCTTGTATTGAAAACACATTAGACAGCTAAGGGCAAAAAAATGGAGAAAATGGGAAGAAAAATTGCACTCACCGGTGCGTTTTGGGTCTCCGGTGCGGCGATGGCTAGGTTTCTCCTCCAGCCACCCTTCTTCTTCTTTTCCGGTGAGTGGGTGTCGGCTAAGGTTAGGGTTTCGGTCTGGAAAAGATGCTTAAATACCCCTCTCCCCTCGATTTATCTAGGCTCGCATGGCTCAACCTCAGTCGTTTGATTGCACTTATTAGAAAAATAGATCTAGGTCATTTGATAAAAAATTCAAACCGTTCGTGCACGTGAGAGTGAACACGAGCCGTTGGATCGCCTAGACACACAAATCGCCCGCGTGTCTCCTATGTGGCTCTTGCATAGAGCTTGTGCTCCATGTAGCACGTTCTGACTCGTCATGCTGCTAACGTGATTGTCCTACGATGCCCACATTTCTCATCTTTACGTTTTGAACCCTATTTTCAAATTTCTATTTTAGATACATCTCTATTTTATTTACAGTTTTATCATATTTTTTAAAATTATTTTCAATTTCATTCAAAATTTATATTTCTAAAAAAAATTAAAATTACACTTTTATTATTATAAAAAAAATTAAATTACATCATTACGACCCTAAATTTCAAGCTCAAGAAGTTACAATAAGTCAATTAACAAAGCTTAAAGAATATATTAATCAAAGAGAGGTTATATTAATGAAAATTAAAAATTTAAGATATATATGAATACAAAAGATAAATTTTTGGATCGAAATTAAATATTGTAAGGGATTATTGGCCAATTTTGGACTAATAAAAAGTTTAGAGATAATAAAAATAAGAAATAGGAAAAAAAAAAAAGAAATTCAGAGATACTAAAGAATACAAAGTAAAAAGATAAAAAAAATACTACATAATTTAGATGATATTAAAAATCTAATATATGAAACTAATATAAAAATTAAAAATTATAATGGCAAAAAGATAAATAGTTAAACAGAGTATGATAAAATATTATACTATAGTAATCTTGATTTTTAATATTTTATACTAATTTTTACGTTATTTATTATTTGATATATTTATAATTTTATTTTATTATATTAAAATTAAATAGTTATCGTGACATCAAAAATTAATTTTTATAAAAAAATAAATTTAAATTGGAACACATTAAAAAAATAAAATAAGAATTATTTATTGTTTCGCATTTTTTTAATATTAATTCTTATTTAAGATTAATTTTTAAATTTCAATCCTATTATTCAAAAACTTAAAATATTTCTTCACACTGCCTATAGTTATGGATAAAAAAAATAAATAAATTAACTTTTTAGATTTTCAAATAAAATATTAAAATATAATAAATGATTAAATTACGAGGTCAGATTATTGTATTAAATTATATTTATTAATTTAAATTTAGTCTCATAATAAATTGCATTATTCTTTTGTTTAATAAAATATTTTTAAAAAATAAAATTTACAACCTTATAATTACGGGATTTTATTAAAAAGAAAAACATATTAATTTAAATTAAAAATCTACACCGTATGAGTATCGACGAGTAAATCAAACATTAAATTTTAAGAAGAGAACAAGGAAAGAAAAAAAAACCTCCTGGAGAACGAAAAGACTGTCTCAGGAGCAACAGAGGCGTGTTTCTTTAACCATTTCTCTCTCAAATCCTTTTTTGCAAAAGCTTTGCATTAGCCTAGGGCAAAGGACTTATTCCCTGCTCAATCTCCATCCCTGAAAGGTACAGTCTCTTTAACAGGTTACTCTCTGCTGATTTTTGCTTAGCGAGGTGGAGATGGAGATGCTAAACCCCATGGAGCTACTCCGATCAAATCTCTCTCGGGTTCGGATTCCCGAACCTACGAATCGCGTCTACAAGCATGAATGCTGTGTCTCCTTTGATACTCCGGTAGACTCTTAGCTTCCTTTTCCTTTCGCTACTGTTCTCTTCCGTTTGGTTATTGAGAATATTCGTGACAAGAATTTTGCAGAGAAATCTAACCCGAAATTGCCACCATTACCAGTTAGGTTCACTCAAAAACTTAGTTCGATGAATGTTTGAATGCTGCGTGCTTCTGACAAGTGCCGGCGATTGCAGTGTCATGACATTCTAATGAATGTCGGCATTCTAATCAATGTCGGTGTCATGACATTCTAATGAATGTCGGACTTTCTTGAAATTCGTATTCGACTGTTAATATCTGGATTCCAAGAAAGTTAGTTGAATGGCAAGACAGTTCTATAGCTTCGGCTAGCTCAGTCATGGCTAGTGTTTATCGGGTTTCCTTCACAATAGTGTACAAATTTGAATAACTTTATTGGAGGTTTTTCTTTTTCTTCATTTCTTTTGCGTCAAACATAACATTTCCAGTCATTTCCCGTGCAAAAAGATTAACAGCTTTCTTTTCTTCCTTATTGTTGATATCATGTTTTTTCTTTTTGATGCGGTCATAAATATATCTTTTTATCCTATGCTGTCCTTGTTTTGATGCTATACGAAAAGAAAGGCAGCTTGTGCAGTTTTAACTTAGGAAAGACAATCATTCCAGTAACCTAAGAACTGCATAAAGAATAGCACTAATTGTCACTCTAACACACTGAACTTTTCCTTCCTCAGTTTTATTGATATTGTAACTGCTAAGGCTTATATGTTTTGTTGTCGTTGTTTTGATGAATGTCAGCGATCTGAAGGTGGGCTGTATGTAGACATGAGCACGTTTCTTGCTTTTGGAAAGGATTACGTGGCTTGGAACTATGAGAAGACTGGTAACCCAGTTTACTTGCATATAAAGCAAACAAGAAAGTTGAGTCCTGAAGACAGACCTTTGAAGAAACCAACTCTGTTGGCTATAGGTACATAAACTTAATTTCTCGTGCATGTTATTTTGGGGTGCTTGATATCATGCCCTAAGGTGCTGTCTGTTTCTTTCTTTCATGATTTTTCATTTTGCTTCTAGCTTCTGCTGCTATTTGGACTGCACTAGAAGTTTTTAAAGAATGCATTTTTTGTTGACTATAAATTGTTACTTTGATACCGGAGCATTTGTGAATGCTTGTGAAATCTTATATTGTCACCAATATAGACATGCATTTCTTTTTCAAGTATGTTTTGCTAAGTTAAAGAAATCCATTCTCCTTAAAAATTACGGAAAAAAATGGACTGGAGACAAGGAGAAAAAAAAGGAAAAAAGGAAGAGTGTCATGTAATGTATCATAAACTACAAAAATTATGTTCGCAGTGGTTTTCTATTCTTGTGGTTTAAAAAATCTGATTGTTATGTGCATGGTGAATTCTGTGCTTTGCATGTAGTTTTTTCCTTGTCAGATGGAAGGGGAAAATAATTTTAATAGATTCCATTTTCCTTCTGAATTATCATATTTTTTTTGCAGTTTTTTGCCCTAAACATATAATAATTACAAGGCAGTTTTTTGCACTTTGTAGCGAATTCTACGGGGAAAATTAGTTTTTAATAAAGCAGATACATGTGTTTGGTAAAATTCTCTTTTACTTGGCTATATTTATTTCAAGATCAGCGGTAAATAGTTAGCAATACCTAGCATCTTTTTAGAGAGGATATACATAGCTATCGGTGAAAATAAGAAATCAAGAACTAAACAAAGGTGTCCCTCAGAAAACAAAATGGCCAAGATTCCAATGATCTGAGTCTACTTTGGTTCAGGACTACTTATTAATGCTGTGAAAGCCTTTAACCAATCCCTTAATTTAAGCCTGATAATTTTGTTGTGGACAAAAAAGAAAAGATTTCCACTCTGCTTGAAAAAGAAATCTAGGCTGTTAAACCCGTTCTTGTTGGTCATTGTTGCTGTAAAAAAATGAGAAAATTCTTTGAGTAATTAGATTGCCACCAGATTTTTGAAGTAATTAATCTTTGCAATTTGATTTGTTTCCTGGAAGGTTGATTAATTGAATTTGCTATCTATTATTGTCATTTGTGTTGTCAAGATCTTTTTTAATAATTAATCTTTGTTTTTAGGCATTGAGGGTGGATTTGACAACAGTGAAGCTGAATATGAAGAAACTTACAATATTGTCTTATTTCCTGATTACATAACTCTTCCATTTCCTTCTGTGGAGTTACCAGAGAAGGTGCTGGTTGTCTTGTAGTTTTCTTGTTTTTATCTGAAAATATTTCCTCAATCCCAAGCGATATTGATTGATCATATTTTCCATAAATTACTGTAGGTAAGATTGGCAGTTGATACTATCTTAATGGCTGAGGGTGCTGAGAGGAAAGAGCAAGTTGCTGCCTGGACTGCTGATAAGAAGCAAACAAGTGCATATGCACTGACGTTGCAACAGATTGATACTGGTGTTACAATTCCTCCAACTGGTTGGAAATGTTGCAAGTGTGACAAGAGAGATAATCTCTGGCTAAATCTAACAGATGGAATGATACTCTGTGGGAGGAAAAATTGGGATGGCAGTGGCGGTAACAACCATGCCATTGAACGCTACAAAGAGACTGGCTACCCTCTTGCTGTAAAGCTTGGGACAATTACTGGTGATTTGGAAGCAGCAGGTAATGCTTCGCAGTTTTGCAAATTTGTCAAATAACCTCATGCGGTTAACTATGGTGACATGATCACAAGCTAGGATGAATTGATTGAGCAACACAAGAAAATTTCTATGGAGATTTGAGCTCTAGATAAAAGTGATCTATTATGCTAGGAGTTGAAAGAATCATTTGTTTTGTTTTCTTGCTAAAGAAAAAAGCTTCTTGAGTCCCATATACATTTCTTGGTTTTCATACACTATATTCTTCAATTTTCTAGTCTGAAAATTAGTTGAAAAAGTTATTGCTACAATCAATACCCTGTTATCCATTCTATGGTTTTGTACTGATGGTACCTGTTTCATATTGTTTCATTGTTTCCAAACTGATAGGTCATTGAGGTACTGAAACTCTGAAACTTAAGATACTAGATTTAATATTGTTGCAAGAATATGTTTTTAACTAATATGGATGCTTTCAAATATTGTTAGCTCTATTATTGTTAGGTCTAGAAGCGTCTTTGCTTGTTATTGAAATGTTGCAGTCTAGGTGAAATAGCTGATGGGAATTCAACCAATATGCTTGAGCAGTTGATTTTTTGACTCTTTTTCCTTGAGCATCTGAAATGTCTTTAGAACTTACCATAGCTAATGTATTGTGGCTGCTCAGATGTTTTTTCTTATCCGGAGGATGACAGTGTTTTGGACCCTCTCTTAGGGGAGCATCTGGCATTTTTTGGCATTGATTTTTCATCTTTGCAGAAGGTTAGTAATATCTGAATGTTTCTTCATGAATACAATACGTTTTAGACTTTTCTTTTCTTGATGTCATTTGTGGATGATAAATCTTTCGGCACTGCTTCTCTTCAGGATTATTAAGATATGTTATTGTGTACTCAGTTTATGATTATGCAGCATTCTGTCTTATGAATCATGATTGACTTTACAGCTCCCTGTGCCCATTAATTTGGTATTAGTCATCAATTCCAACCTCTTTGGATTCACAAGCCCTTCTCATCCATATATCTTTAAAACTAAGGATGATAGTCCTAGTGGAATCTGCTTTCATAATTGATTTTTGAGGGTATTGGATTAATTAGTCCTTTGGATTTCCAATCTTTGATTTTACTACTTCTTTTATTTCTGATTGTTAATATGGATAATTCATAAGGTTTAGTGAACCTGCAACATATATGCACCATCAATGCACTTCATTATGATGGTCCTGGATAAGCATAGATCGGTCGACTAAGCATGATAATGATTATTGACCTAGACGGTGTTATTTAAATAATCTGATATGGACTTTGTAATAACTGATGGTATATTCTTTTTAGCTTACTTGATAAATGGGTTATGTTTATTATCCGAAATGGATCTCTTTCTGGTCCCTTGTCTCTACTAGGACTCATTCACATGTGACTTTTTTGGACCATTACTTACTTTCCATACTTTGCTAAGGCTTTAATTGTTATTTTCTTCTTTTTCATGGCTTTATGTGTTGCTGGTTTGCTGTGTTTGCTGAAGTTACTAACCTTTCTTTAAGCATTTCAGTCACATTTTCTTCCTTTATCTTCAATTTATGTATTTTGTGCATTTTGACCTCAATTTTGGTTAGTGGAAGTTTTTGATGAGTGTTTGAAACTGTCGTAAGGTTTTTTTCCCGTTTTCAGACTGAAATGACTACTGCTGAAAGGGAACTTGACCAGAATACCAACTTCGATTGGAACCGTATTCAAGAAAGTGGACAGGAAGTGGAACCAATTTTTGGTCCAGGTTATACTGGACTTGTAAATCTTGGGAACAGGTTAGCTAGTGCTTCATACAATGGTGCCAGAGAAAAATCTATTTGCTTATGTTCTCTGTTTCTTTAGCTTTTTTTTCAAAAAAAAATTTCAGTTGCTACTTGGCTGCAACCATGCAAGTTGTGTTCTCAACACAATCTTTCTGTTCAAGGTTAGTTGCCTTTTATCTATCTAGATCTCTATCTTTCCATCTATATATTTATCTATCTATTATCTCTCTCTCTCTCTCTCTCTATACATATATATATATATATTTGTTTGTGATTGTTTGCTAACTTTTGGAAATCTTGTCAGGTACTACACTAGTCAAAGCTTAAAAGTGGCATTTGATACGGCTCCTGCTGATCCAACTGTGGACCTTAACATGCAATTGTGAGTTACCAGCTTGTCCAGTGCTTCTTCCTTTCTGTGGTTCTGACTCTATTAAGTATCTGCTCTATCATCTTTATAAAGTACAATCACTATTCATCATTGTTTCCCGGTTCCCAAATGAACTGATCATCTATTCATGTGAAAAGATTCATCCTTGTTTACCCAGATTAATTGTTGATACACATAGTTGATATGATTCTTTAATAAGACATTGAAGTTCAGAATTATTTGCTTAATTCCTCGAGTAGTTCTTCATTCTATTTCCCGACTTCTCTTTTCTTTAATTTCTTATCCTTGTTAGAAACATCGTCCAACTGATTTTCTTATGGAACAATTTATTTGCTTAGGTAGTAGGTATGAAGAAAGGGTTTGCATGGTTTGGCAATTATTACTTTCTAATGCTTGTTGTTTTATGGCATAACTAAGCTGGCACATGGTCTGCTGTCCGGCAAGTACTCAGTTCCAGCACTGGAGGTATAACAAGAACAATAATTATTATTTGTTTCCTTTCTTGGTTGATTCATTTGTGTTCTTCATTATCTTTTTTTTTTTGGGATATCCAGAAAGATGATACTTCAAATGCTGCAACGTCACCAAAGA